ATAAGATAAGTGGTTTTTTTTTTTATACTATGTAAGTTTAATATTTTTATCTGATATTCTGATATTAAGTTTGAAATTGATTAATTTACTGTTTTGTCTGAAAAAAAATTAAAAATTATAATGAATAAAAAAAAATGTGTTATTTTCATTTGCCCCAGGTCTATAACTCTAAAAAATTAATAAAATTCCAATTTGCCCCTTAGCTACCATGTAATTGGTGTAAGTGGAAATATGCCTACTTCATGCATTCAAATGATATAAAATAAATGCTAATGACAAATATATTTAAATGCCCCAGAGGTCATTTCTACAAATAACATACTAACAAATTTGTTTGTTTTCACTTACCCCGAAAAATATGTTTTATCATATTTTGATGGGGCGAATGAAAATGGACATTTTTTTGAAAAATATTAAGTACACTGAAGTTTCAATTGCAACATTATCATAACTATAAGTGTTCTAATTAGATCATAATGCAGAAATCGCCGAAAATTGTCTTGGCAACAAATAATTGTATAAAATAAGTGGAATTTAAAAATATTGTTTCCAATAACCCCACTTGACCCTTTACTGTGTTGATTATAATATATTACAATACCTACCGTTATACATACCTAATGTTATGATCTAAATAAAATGTGGTGAAAAGAGCTAAGAAATCGGGCCATAGCATGTAATTCGATGCCACTGTCACGGGATGGCACCAACCCCTTTAAAAAGTGTACGCAGCTATGTAAAATTTGAGCCCTTCGGCTTGCCACTGATTTCCAATAACAGAGGTACGGCACCACAATTTGTTTTTTGGGAGGATGATAAAGTGCATTTCAACTTTTTGAAGGGGCAAGCTTAATAATTTAACTTCTGTCAATAAAAATAATAATAATAATAATTTATGTATTAGTTAATACTGTTATACTGTTTAATTGAATTTATCCATAAAACATATATTTAATACTTATCAATAACAATACTTAAAAATAAAAAATACAATTATAAGTAAGATTTAAACATGAAAATATTTTTAAAAAAGCATTATTTTTCTATTGTGATAAGCAACAGAAATCATGTCCACAACATTTTCTATACCTAGGATTTTGGAAATGTGGAGTGATAATTGATCAGTATTATTAATATCTTTGGTTTCATCAGTTAAAATTAAAAAATACTTAGATTTATATACCTACCTCATTTGTAATTGATTCAATAACCATTAAACTTATGATACTAAATATTTAATTATACATACTACTCGTTTTCTGTGTATATTTTCCCACAAATATTTAAAAGTTCTAAAAAGTTACTGTTATTTATATTTTTACCACTTTCATTAACTCCACGTTGAGCAATTATTGACGGCTCGTAAATATTAATATTTCTACAATTGTTGAATATAATAACGAATTTGATTTTATAAGTGTCTCATTTTCTTTATTAATAAAAGGTAAAATAGATTTATCAGTTTTTTCAGACATTCTAAATTCTTCCCATTTAGTCATACATATTTCATGTGAAATTAATTTATCATATTGCTTTATACCACTATTTTTTTCCATGGCTTTTTTCCAATTCTTAAATGTTGAATTGAAAAACTGTGATTCAGACAGACCAGTTGAAAAAAGTTAACAAAAAAAGCAATAACGAGTCGCGTTGGAATCCGACTAGCTAATAAATGAAAGCTGCTATTTTTAAACTTTTTGAATCGTGCTACTTTTATCAAATATGGTGAGAGAAAAATTAAAAGAGTCATTCTATTTAGTTTTTACTATTAAATCCATCATAATTAATATAATTTTGAAGTACAGCGATTACAAATAATTGCCAATTATAATGTATGTGATTTAAGATCAGAGTTTGGGTGCTTGAAATAACAACGCTGTTAAAATATTTTTTGCGTTAAAAAATTGTTTAAATTTTAATTTCTTATAGAAACTAACTTGGTCTGTTAACTACGGTCACACACTAATTAAAATATATGGAAAGGTGAGAGAAGGCGAGAACTTATCCTGGGAGGGCAGTCGCCCGCTCTTGCATTCCTTTGATGCCATCCCTGCACTAACAGTTGAAATACAATTTAAAATATATATTTACCAACTGAATATTTTTTTTTTTTCATTTTGAAATAAAATTATTTATTTATTGAAAACTATAAACAAAATTTTAATATGTTCGAGAAAAAAATTTAGAGGTACAATTTATAGATTCCAATAATAATTTTACAATATTTTAAATATATTTTTAAAATAAGCACAGGTTATAAAAATAGTTATGACAACACTACAACAGTACGGATTTGAAATATTTATTTAAACTTAAGAGTTTGGGTTTTCGACAAATTTAGTTTACGAACGATATACTTTATTAATGGATTTACGGCAGTTTCAAAATTAATAATTTATAATGTTTGAAATGTAATATTAATTTTATAATATTTTGTATCTTTAAATTTCATTTTTCAAGTACTTATTAAAAATGAATTGATTAAATTAATTGTATTAAAATACGTTATTTGTATATTTATTTGAGTCATTTTTAAGAATTTTTATTTTTTAAATAATATTTATAATCTATGATTCAAAATAATTATGCAAACTTAACATATTATATATATAGAAAAGATAAAACACAACATGAAAAACGAGAGATAAGAAGCAACCCAGTGACAGAAACCAACGTTAATTTTTTATTTAATTATTTAATTTTTTTTAATTTATTTTAAATTTTAAAGTCGAGCTGCACACTGTTTTAAGTTTTTGTAAAATTTAATTTTCAAATTTTTAATTTAAAAATAATTACGAAAAAGTTAGCTATTTGTTTTTCCAAAGATATTATTTTATGATTTATGTTCATTCGTTATATTTTTGTTGTTAAATAATTTAAATGAAACTGGTCAAACCTGTTATACTCAATACTCACCCTTTTTTTTACCTCTGGTACTCACATTTTTTCTATAATATTGTGTTATAAACCCGGTTCTTTGTAATGGATAAAAAATAATAATTATTGGTTTTAAGTAACTATTTTATAGGTTGCGAGGCTACAATGAACAGTCCACAATTGGATTCATTTGGATAGATTATGTTTAATAGGATTGGTAAAATGATGATATTATAAGAAGTTTTATTGTTTAAGGGTGACTATTAAAATATTGTTTATATCATTGAAATAATTACACTAGGTATATTTTTAAAGTAACAATGTTTCATACAAATATAAAATAAGAAATGCTACAATTATAATATTTATATGTATTAAATGAAAATACACTATTAAAAATTTATTATACATTTAAATTTCATAATAAAACAAATAATAAAATTAATTAATTTAAATACCTTATGTGTCATAAAGCCTATTAAAATTAAATTATATGAATAGTCAATATATGTAGAAATTAAATAAAAAAAAAAAAAATAATAAATATTGAATTATATTTTCTATACTATAAGTCTATAAACCATACTAAAGACATTGTCATACTTAAAAATAAAGATCTAATGTACATAAATGCATAAACATTTTTACATTTATTCTATGATAATATTAGGTATAATAATCATTAAATTATTTTCTAGGTAGTTCATGTCGTATATATATAAGGTCTTATATAGTCTGTATAAAATACGAGTATATTAAATTAAACTTAATCGAACATTATATAATTGCGTCTCCTCTGTATTTTAAGAATAAAATCAAGTCACATTACGGCGTACGTGCTTACAATGTATTACATACTTCTAATTGTAACAGTAGTAAGGCGGTATAAGAGTATGTTATACGTTTGCCGTTTTTTTGAAAACATTTATTTAAATATAAAACATAAATAATATTACACATACCTATGTAAGTCGAACACAAACAGAAACATGTAGAAGATTATTCCCTACTACTCTATGTAGATTTACATTGTATTGCAGTTGCTTCGTTAGTTACAAAAATATCACTATTAGTCACTCATCATTATCTAGATAAATTGTTATTATAATTTTGAAACAATGTATAATACTTAGATAACTGATAGTTCTGCTGCATATGAACCAATAAGATTTAATAAAATTTTATAAATTACTATATGTGCACTTTCCAAGACACTTCAACTGTTTTGGTTCATTTAACTTTAAATATTATGAGCATCAATAGTGAAATTTACTGCATTTCTCTGTACACTATTTTGAATGTACGTCATTTTAACGTGCATCAAATGAATGTGGTAAATTCGATGCAAGATCGCAATTGAACACATACGACATTTTGACGCGTGCAATTTCGGCATAAGTTACATAATTAAATTACATATTTTATTTTTTTATGTGAGATTGAACAATTTTGCTTGTTTTGTAAAATTAATAATACCTCGGTTTTTCACATGACTTGGTCCCAGTGCGGTGTCCAGATTATTCAATTAAAAACAAATAATAGATTATTAGTCCTAAGCCTCAAATTTCCTAAAACCGGCACTGATTATACCTTATGTCAGCGATGCATAACCTTTTTTGATCCATGACCCTCAAATTATTATATTTCGATAAAACGGCTCCCTTCCTACCAACAATGTATAATATACTTAGTGTATACAAACATTTTATTCTTATAAACGAAATCGTTAATTTTTGAAAAAATTATTATTTCTTTAATTTAATTAATCCAAAACATGTAAAAAAAAAAAATACAAAATTTGAGTCATTAAAACTAATGTGCGAAATACGTAACTTTATAATTTGGCGTTAAATTATTGGCAACTCCTTAATAAAATCTAACGACTCCCTTAGGAGTAGCGACCCCCCGGGTTGCGCACCACTGCCTCGTACCACGATTAATGTAGGACACTATTATTTCATAACGATTTCGGTATACCTGCGAACAGCAGTTCAGAAATTACGTCGTACCGTAGTATCGTCGTACAGATAACGCTGTAGGTGTGTGCGCGCCGCGCTCCATCTCCCCACCAATCGAATGCGACGGTCGTGGCGGTAACCATACGGTCGGCACGTTCCTCTCGCGACGGCGACGATGACGACGGCACGGCAGCTATCGACCAACCTTCGGCGTGCGCGGAACGCTAGTGTGTACGATCACGTCGTCCGTGAAAATTGTCGTTTTGTATTCGAATTGAACACATTTTTCAGTTTCTACGTCCGCGCGTTCAACGAGTGCGTTCACTTGACGCGTGTGCTCGTGTAATAAAATTGATCTTGGCGATCGCGTCGTCGTTATTTTTTTTGGGTTTCCGTTCTCGTACCAGCTACTAGTGCGCGAGTGCGGAGTCGATCGTGATCGATTTGTGCGGGAAAATCGTCGATACATACACATAGATTGACGGGAAGTCGACCGTCGCTCTACTAACTACTGACAGGAACGCTCGAATGGCGTCGCGAAGTTCGGCGGTGTCCGAGAAGTACGCGGGATACACGTCGATGTTTGTCGGGTCTTAGTGCGAGCGCGAGGTATGACCGTGGGGCCCATGACACGCAACGGGGAGTGCAAAAAGTTCTCGCCCAACATATTCAACAAGTCGAAATGCACTAATTGCTTCAGGCAGAAGGAGGAGCATAGCGCGGAGGCTTTGGAGAGTAATCGGGTGAGTGTGAATTTCAGTTCTCGTATAACGCAGTCGTAAAGTATACCTTGGTATACCGTTGCGGTTAAAGTTTAAGTGCGAAACTCCCGGTAATAATGATGACAACTAATAATATCAGTGATTGAGCACTTAACAGTTTAACGTATTTATGATGTACACCAGTGATTTCAAACCTTTTTTCCTTGACGGACCACTTTGGTAAACAATTATCTTAAATCGGGCCATTAAATAAAAAAGTACGAATAATATCAATATCGATATAATTTTATTTGTTATTTTGTTGCACATAGTAGGTATATACAATATACATGTAGGTAAAATATACCTGGTATATATTGAATTTGTTTTCAACAAATATTTTATTGATTACTGAAAAGATTACAGATCGAGGTACACGCTGTAGGTACACATTAATTTTATCAGCACGCTATTTTATTTTAAGTGCATGGGGGTTATATCGTGACATTTCTATTTGAAAATGATCGAAAATAAAATTAATACATTAAAAAAAAAAAAAACACGTATTTCTCAATAATTTTATTTTTTTTTTTAATATTTTATTTAATTTTAAAAAAATTGTCACGCTGTGAATACCTTCGTGAATACTTTCGTGGGTCACGTGTAGTCGCGGGCCGCGAGTCGGGCACCGCTGACGTGCTCGGATGGATCACGGAGATTACGAATGTTCACTGGTAAATTCAACGATTTGATCGTCCCTGGTAGTCCATCAGCAATTTGATTCGATCACGTATGGCTAGCCGTAAAGCTACCAGTATGCATTGCATTTCGGATTAGTTTGAACAGAAATTATTGTTTTGGTCTCTGATTGTTTTCCACGCTCCAGGTTGTGTTTCAGGCGAAATATTCCTGTTCCTAGGTGTTATTATTCTTTAAAAAAACCGACAGCCTTGTGCGCGTCTGTAGCACGCGTTTCATGATTACCGCGGAAGAATTAAATCAATAGATCATTGGTTGCATGGTGTCTTCAGAAAATTTCGATAACCGTTGTGCACACGACGGTTACAGGTTTGAACACTATCTGTTATATTAGCTAGTGTTTTTTTTTCTTAAACAAGATTTTCTTTTCACGGCTATACTTAACATACTTAATATAATTTTATAGAAATATAATTAATATTTTATTAATATTCATTATCCATATGCGAACGCATGATATATAAACTTCTCATTTGCTTATAATCTGTTAAAACATTTTTCTTTTATATTGTGCGCATTTGAGTTATTAATGTTTAACATCATTTGAAGAAAGAATATAATTTTTTTCGACTAACTTATAATTAGACGTGCCTAAAGATTGTTTTTATTATATTTTTGGAGTCAATTATAATGTATTTTGTGGGTATTGCATATATGGTAAAAGCAGATGGATGTTTTCGGGGGGGACCTTAGGTCTCAACCTTCCTCCCAGAAGAAAAAAAAAAAAAATTCAAAAACCATATATGACTTGCTGCAAAGGTACAGAGAAAGAGAACATCTATTTATATCATGTGGTTGTAAACAACTCTTAATTTGCATTTACAATAATAATAGAATAATAGATATAATTGTATTATTATGAATTATTGATTCATATCTTTTATATATATATTTTTAATATTATAAAATAACTTATTTTTTAGAAAAATTTAAAACTCTCTAAATTTTTTTTTTAAAAATGTAGTAGAAACTTGTGCAGTTGCCTGATGAATAATATCAGTCAAATTTCTAAATTAAGACCCTTTAATCTTTTTTGTAGCATAATATAGAGCCGTATTTAGTGCAAGGCAAGAGGGCATGGGCCAGGGGCGCAATTCTAAGAGGGGCACAAATTTCAACACTACTCATGTAATAATTTTCACGAAATATGAAAAAGATGTAGTTAAACAATTTAATTTGATAAATTTGCCTCTATAAAAGCAAGAAAAGTACCATTGTATTAAAATAAATTTAAAATAATTCAACATAATTGTATAACAAAAACATTTGAAGAAAATTACATGTTTTTATAATGCGTTGATTGTTTACATTTTAAAGTAATACAAATAGTTATTAAACTTTATTAATAATTATTACCTTGTATACTAGGTTTTTATACATGCTTTATATATGTATATCTCAAATGATTTTTTGTAAAAAAAAATGCAAATTTCCCATTGGGGGTAGGGGGCAAATATGGTGATTCGCCAGGAGCACCTCTAGACCTCAATACGAGCCTGGCATAATGGAACAAATTTTGAATAGTTTTTGGGGTTATAATGAATAGGTTCACAAGTTATTCGGCCATCGACTAGACATGTTTGAATATTTCTTGGTGAAAAAAACGTCAATTTTTTTTGCGCCTGACTAATATCTCCTCAATTCATTACTGACATCAAGATAAGAGAGTACTGTATTCTTGTTTCTGCGGAATATGAAGAAACCGGTTATATTATCGCTGGTTTCCTCCATGTGCGCACTTCTAAACAGTTTTCAGTTCTAGAAAATCTCATACATACCACTGGCGGTATTATGTTGGGTCAATCAAAATTGTAAAAAGTATCAGCTAGCGCCCTTGCTAGCGTCCAAATTAACTTGTATTCTAAAGTCTGTTAAGTCCATTTAAAGTCTTCTTACCATACCAGGTAATCAATATAGTTAACTAATTTTCCTCGCAATTTACAGACTCGAGATATTGGAATTTAATTGTTATCGATTGATATAGGCTTTGCGAGAACCAATTTGTGACAAACAAATCCTATTAAGCTTAAATAAAATGTATATCGCCTCTACTGTCATAACTTGAAATATTTCGTTTCCTAAAGAAAATCTGAAATAGATTTCCTTATCGATTTCACCAATTTTGAAATTCAATTACTACTTTGCAATTATGATTTCATTAATTATTATTGAAATGAAAGAGAAAGTGTATTGTTTTCCACATTCGTAACATTACTACGATGTCATTTTTTCGGTTTCCCCTTGCACATCAAACAATAATTAATCGCATCGGATTACGACTAGAAAGTCTACGAGTTAGTATGCGAGTTTTAGATTTAGTTCGAAATTGGTATGCGAAAAAATTATTTCTGATTTACTATGCTTTTAATAATTTTATACATAATTCAAAGTTTTTATTTTTTATTTTTATACTTAGTAAACTAACTATAATTTACTCGTAATATGGTTTAGGTTAAATATTCAAATAAGTAGTTTTAATATATGAATATAGTTTTTTATACCTCTTCAATTTCTAATTCATTCAAAGTATTTAAATAGATATCTTATCTGAATATTGTGATAGTAATTATATTTAGGCACCTACAATGTATGTATATTTTAAAAATATAATATATATATGATATATATATATATTTACTATTATGAGTCTACAACTAATATTCTAATCGTTTAGGTAATTGCAGACATTGTTTATGTTGAATAGTTGAAGCTATTTTTTTCTTCTATCTGCATTATTTTTTATTGGGATACGAGTATTGTGTTGTCGTGTTGAATAACTATTTTTTTTCTTTGCTCTACGTGAAAATCGAATCGCACGGATTTATGTAATTTAAATCAAACTCTAAATGATAACGTATATGAAAAAATGAAATTTTTGAAACAATAATAACTGTAATTACTACTGAAGGAGACTTCGGTTTTATGCAACCCAGATTCTCCAGAAGCATTACGATTTTACTTTCCACTTTCATACTGATACAGATTTGCGTGTAAAAAATTAAATGTATGAATAGCATATTATTGTAAAATAAAAATACTGATGTTCATCTCTTTTAATATTAGTGATAAAATGAATGAAAATGAAACGTATTAAACAATTTTTACTAATGATTTTGTTTTAGTAATTAATCACTCAAGTCAATAATATTGTTGGTAATTTTACTTTTTATAGGTCCATAGTGTTTTTTACATAATGTGTTTTCTCAATCCATAATCCATGTAGTTGTTTTATAGATTTTTTTTTAAATAGTGGTACAATTTGATAAATAAATTTCTAGATAGGATTTAATATTCGATTTTTTGTATTATTTTCATTTACTATACATATATATAGTGATGTGAGTTTGTATTATATAATGGTATAGAATTGTATTATACAAGGTATTATACACATGGTATAAAATTATTTTATACAGACAGTATAAAAAAAAATGAAAGCGTTATTTTTAGTAACTCGACTATTAATTTTTTAGTTGTCCTTATAGAATGTATCTCCAATAAAGTACAGTATTATTATAAAAATCAAAAATATACAACATTATTGTAATCGTGTTAATTTAGAATTCAGGTGTTAAGAATAACTAAAATCAATTTATTTTACTATGATATTCAAATATTGTAAATATATAGATACAATTAGATAGTATATAATTATAGACGTTTTAAGTAGATATATTTTTCTTTTTATTTCTATTAAAAAAATATGTATTTATATGTATAACATACAAACGTATGTTACTTATATCATTATTGCAAATCGATAATATAACTAAAAATTATTTTGGTAAATTTTGTGAAAAATTCTTGTATCAGGTATGTGTTTTTTTAATTTTTCTAACTTTTTAGCCATTTTTTTTTTAATTATTCTATTTTAAAATAATTTATATTTCATAATTGACAATGGGATTATAACCTTAGTTAAATTCCTTATAATTTAAGGTACTGCAAGGTTCTATACGGTATAATACGGTATTATACAAAAAATAAATAAAATACCGTATTTTAACATCTCTACATATATATATATATATATATATATATATACATATATGTACATACTATATTTCATACATTACATATTATAGCTATGTATTATTCTAAAAAATTTTTTAAATGTTTATAGAATAGCTATTGATAATCCTTATTTTTTAATGAAATTCAAACTTTCATAAAAATATCTTAAAGATGTTTGATAGTTAAAATATATATTATACTCGGTAATTTATTAGTTTAACGGTCAAATCGTGGAATTTGGAATCGTTTTTGATATTAAAATTAATACT